TGCCACCTGAATGCTTCGAGAGTCTTCAGTGACTCACACCGCACATGTTGACAGTGGGAGTCGCGTCACTGGCAATTCGATCACTTGTGCCTACTCCCGCCTCAACCCCTTACCACATCAAGGGACGACTTCAATGGCTCTGCTCTGCAAAGAAGGCACTACCACCTCTTCACTTGGCTTGCTTTAACGGTAGGATAGATTTAATAAAAGAGTGATGACAACCAGGCAAACCGTTCTCTCAAGTGGCATGTCTGTCATTGCATATCGCCTCATTTTAGGCCCTCCTAGGCAAGTGCAATTTCCTCTCACTTTCATTACAGTCAAATTCTACTTCACACCTTGTTGCGTGTGCGTGACGAAAGATGCATAGAAAATGTCAGGTGTTTTGTTTAAGTCAGCCTCGCATTTCGTGCTCTCCTTCTGACAACCGATACCAAAGCCATGTTGGTGAGTGACCGAGTGAGTGAGTGTGAGTTACAAGGATAAATGTGGTGTCCTCCCATGTGGACACTCAGTTAAATGGAAGGACTTTTGCCTCGTTCTGAATGAGAGCAAAAAACATTGCATGCAATGATGGTTTGGTTGATAGGTGCTGGACTTGTTACAGCCAGTTGTACATAGTTTTTACTCCAGATTGTTTGTTGCACTTCGGCAGAAAATGTTAGTTCTCAGTTAAGTGGAGTGAGGTGTGCTGCCACTATGCATGACATGCCGGATGCTCCGTAACACTGTTTAGCTGCTTCCGCGACTCACGGTGGCATTCACTTGCACCACATCTGATATAAGTCATGATACAACTTTGCCTCGCTTCACTGACAGATGTCATCGCATCAGTCCATAAAGGCATTGTGGAGTCCTTCCAAAAGGTTAATTCTGAATCAGCTCGTACTGCTTTCTAGATTATTCGACCCTCTTTTTAATTTTATTTGCACAATCAACGTACGTGTTTCGTTCCAGCTAACTTCTGTGCAAATTAACCACTTCGTTGACGATGTCAGACTGCCGTCCTTTGTCTTGCAAGATTACGCGGCAAAAATGGGTGAATGGTAAGGTATTAATTCGACTTTTCGTCGGTGTGCCAAGATTTAGGTCCCAGGACAAGTGAGACACAGATCACCAACTTTGTTTTTGGGTAGGCGAGTGGGTTTCTGGCACACTTCTCCATGGTTGATTAAATATCATCTCGCCTCAACTACCGTCAACAAAAGCACGAAGGAATACACTCCACCATCAATAAGCAGGGTGTCTCATGTCGGTCGGTGTACGGGTAGTGTGTGGCCTTGACAAATGGCATGTCAATTGTGTACATGGCCATGGACATTTGCACGCAGAGACGAGGTGACTTGGAGAGGGCAGGGTGACATGTCACATCTGAATGCCGTGATTAGTGGGCTTGTTGACTTAAATTAAGTCAGTGAAGAGGCTCGCACATTAAACCTTGATGGTATGACAAAAGGGCGTCTTCCAGGCAAAGAACACCTAAAACATTTGCACTAATTAATTCTGCATTAAGGAATGAAAGATCTTTGCACACAGGGATTAGGTGTTGTGAAAGCAGTCCCTGCCACTGACGCGATGGTGTGATTTGAAGTGCAGGTTATTTGCCAACCTTGACAAGAACAAGAGGCAATGTCTTATGCAAATCACCATCCCGAGTCAGTGCTTTAGCCCTGCTTATTCGTGGCTGATAGAGTGGAAGTGCATTGTTTTGCAAGACAAGGAACTGACGAGTTCATTATGGGGTTAATCACACTGTCTTTCACTCAAATCATAAAGAATAATCGGACCATCACCTTCAAGATTTAATTATCACTACCTGTTATACAATTATTTGACTTGAAAGATAGTACAGAAGTTAAATTTAAAGGATCATCCCCCTGTCGTTCCCAACTTCGTGTCACTTATTTATACTATTGCCTTTCCCTGAAACTCATAAGATTAAGACGGAAATCGAAATATGTGTATGTGACTACTGAAGCGCAGTGTGCTTTCTTTGAAGACAAAGGAGGGCATAACAGACAGTTAGAATATGTACAGTTGAAGCAGAGATTGACCGGAGACTACTGGCTTAGCTTTTGAAAATCAGGCCGCCCGGTGGAGGTGCAGTGGCTTAGTCCCTCAGTGCTCCGTCGCAAAAACGGTTTTAAACAAACAATTAAGATACTGCACAACCACCACAACACGGGTTCATTGTAAGTCAGTCGAAATGACCCATCATGATGACTGCATCACCACTGTCGGGGTCAGGGGTTAGGTAATACCTTAAAAAACAAAAATTTTCATCTGCTAAACTAAAATTCTATTTCAAAAACCAATTGTGCACCTAATTCTTCAGTCCGACTAAAAGTTTCCATTTCCTTAGGTAGCGGAGCAAAAAAGCCATTATTTCTCATTTTCAAATAAACAAACTTGTGAGCATAACATGAATATCCAAGAACTGTTATGCCGACCATCGCCTTTTAGTAGCTGAATTGTTTAGGCATATTTAAAACCTTAGTTAGTAACATACGGCCAGTCCATTTAACAGAAAGTTGCTTCCCTTAGTACCGGCTATTACAGCAAACAAGGCGAGACATTCTGTCAAGAGTGGCATCTTGATACGGACCATGAAGTAGACCCACGTAGCTATCAATTTAATGCATAAAAATATTGTATGGAGAGGTGAATGCACCGCTTCGTCAAATGGAATCATCTGTCTGCATCGCATTTGAAGATGCCGTCAGAAAGGTGAAAAAGATGGAGAGCGGAACAAAATCATCAGGAGACACAGAAGGAGAGGTGGCTTGGTGGATTTAACTTTCCCTCATTTGAGGGATTTTATACATTGTGGTCCTGTAATGCATTGGTTTTCTGTTTAGCTCTTCGACACGGTAGTGGACTGTCGCACATCCGCTGTGTGGCCTGGCCTTTGGGCCATGCCGCTAGCCTCTCAGTTCATCTATGCATCGACAACACATATTCAGCCCCATTATTGCGTCCTCTTTTGTCTTCATGGAAGTCTTAAGGATCTGCGTATCGATTTGCTTTACGGGGGTCTACGGGCTACAAAGCTCAAAATGAGATCGTATTATTATTCAGGTTGGACTACTGGTTACGGAAGTACCACAGCTTTAGCCTTTTACCCTTTACCTTTATTTGTCCTCTCCCCCTTCATCCTCTCTAGCTATCCTTCCATAAGCCATCTTTTTACTACCTTTGACGCCAGAGCAGTGGAAAAGAGGACCGATTTGTGTTTTGTACTTCAAAAACTTCATCATCGAGATGTGCAGTCTGAGTAGCGGCTAGAGCCGATGTAATGCCACTGAAATAAGTCACGGGAATGTCGCAACCCCACTCCAAAACCCCTTTGAAAACAATATATACCCTTATGATAACCTTTGCCTTTTTTCCTTCCAAAAAGCAGTAGGTCTGGTCAAAATAACTTGACTGGCTGGAATAAGCTGAAGTAAAATTTCAGTGTTCTACTCCCCCTTCTACTATATAATATTTTCTGCATATGAAGTTAAAAGTTTTTTTCCCAAAAATTTCTTTTAAAAATTTGTTTTATAAAAGTGAAGAAAAAGAAGAAATTACTAATTTTACAATAGATGCATGCACTGTTCAAATGCAGGTCTGGGGATCTCACAAAAATACGAGATAAATTGAAGTGAGGAGTAAGTATATGGATAAAAAGCTGCATATTACAATTACTTTACATTTTATTTAAGGATGATACCTTTAAAGAAGTTAAAGCATCTATCAATATAACTCATAATAAATCAGGTATGAATGGACAAATGCACCGCCTCCTCAAGCTAATTTATTTGCCTACATCACAGTTGGTGATGCTGTCATCTGACAGTCCCTCAGTAATCCAAACACCCTTTTTCTATTTGTGCAGCGATTTAGGTCTTCCACGAAGCCATAATGAAGCAAATTATTTTGCTTTTCGGTGTATGAAAGTGCTGAGAGGTATTAGTGCTGTGGTACCGTCGTACACAGGGACTAGGGAAGATAATGATACTGGCAGAGACCAGAGTTCAAATCGCCTGGCAAAAGTACAACAACTGATCATCCAGATGGCCTGTTGCCAAAACTGGGAGTTAGACAATCAATGTCGAGATGAGGCTCACCCCAGCACGCTCATAATCATCCACGCGTAAGCAAGTGGTCTGTGATGCATTCGAAGAGAATGAAGCACTGTTTTAGAGTGGAATAGGATCCGGCTTTGCTAAGGCGCCACTTTCAATGGTTACCAAATGGACATGGGTCCTACACACATCTTCAAAATGTGGCCTTAAAACTCGGCCAAAAGTGCTAATTGAGAAAGCCTGACAAGGCATAACAAAGTGATGTGTAAATTACGAGAAAATGTTAGGTGATGTATTTAGTGAAGCAATTATTTAACTTCAAGATGTACTCATTTAAGCATGGAAAGATTGATGAAAGATTGAAGCATGGAAAGTAGCATTTTTACTCTTTTAAACACGCCCTTAATTTTGATTTTCCTGCTTTTTTCTGTTAGCGCAGGTCAGTTGATCAGTTATGAGTAGCAGTGAAGTCACACAAAAGCAATCGCAACTTATCACTTTGAATGCGGACTCGATGTGTGTGAATCGTCAGTGTTATCCCTTAATTGTTCGTTTACCTAATGCTTATGGTAACGGAGCCTTTAAGGGCTCTGCCATTATACCTTCGCTAGGTGGGGTGGATTTCACACAGAGGAAATGGCATAGACCGAAAGCCACGCCGCTTGGTGAACGTTCATCAATGGCGCCTCTCAGTAGCCCTCTTACCGAAACCTAGAGTTAAGCGATCGGAGTATTTCAATCTAACCCAAAGAGACTAAAAATTCATAAGTTCCCTATATTTTGCATACTTTTAATAGGATCATTCACCTCAGCAAAATTGCTATGAGGGTCAAGGTCAGATAATTTGCACACCTCACAGTTCTATATTTTCATCTGAAAATACTTGTAAAACATGCCAATGCTTATATTTCAGTTTGAGGACATTACACATGTACACCAATGGCTATGTGTTCTGCAAGCTTGATTGATTCTACCCTAAAGACGAGATGCTCTTAACTAACGAGTGTGCTTGTTCAAAGGGAGTAAAAGCCAATGTAAAATAGAGAAATGTCGGGTCTCCTACCTAGGGCCCAGTGATTCAAGCCATCGGATGTGTCATTTTCAATTTCATAAAAAAATAAATACTTTTAAAGTAGTTCGAATTACGAGGTAGTGCAAACATCCATTCCCATAATTTTAATGTACAAGGCATTACCCCTATTTGGAAGGTACTTTTGGCCCATATTTACACCAGACTATGGGGTGGACTAAATCTCACCTAAGATCATATTCTCCTCTCTCTCTCATTCTTCCTTAATTTAAATGATCGAGGTATTAGCTACTTACTCCGAATATAAGTAGAGCGTGTGGGGTAGTGGGAATCGCATAATCGGGAAAGATTGTTCTCACCAAGAAAATAAGCAGCATTTTGCTGTCAGCAATGTAGGGCTTTTGTCAATGAGAGCTTAACATTCTAAAAAAATAAAGGAACCAAAATCTAGCCATATGGAGATCCCCGAGAGTGCCCTGAAAACAAGAGGCAAAGAAGTTAATGACGTGACCCTGAGGCCAAGACAGGTCTCCCAATGGAACCCTAAAGTAACCAGTTGCTAAAACTGAGTATCGAATAAACAACTCGAGTTTTGCATATAAAGGGGATTACAAGCGTAATGTCAAAGTGTTTCGTTACATAAATACTCTTACGTCTGATTAATATTTACACTGCAGTGGAGGATGTTAGTACACGATTAAGTGAAGCGTACCGCCAAAATGTATGACATTAGGGATACACCGAGACAATTTATGACTGCTTCTGCCAATCACGGTGGCATCCACTTTTACCATATCTTTTATTTGTCACCGTCTGCATCCACCAAAGTCTACTGATGGACAGAATTTAAGATAACTTTGAGAATTCCTTAAAGATTAAAATGACAGAATATGTATTGTTGACGTACAGAAGGGCTGGCTGTCATGATTAGAAGACAAAGCCGCCCCGTAAGACCACAATGGCGATGCCATGATGGCCTGCGTAACCAAAATCTAAAGTTAAAACAATTAACGTATTAGAGAGATTCCCTAAGGCGTTGAAGAAAAACAAGCCACATTGTCGAGGTCGGGGTCAAGGCGACAAGTCACTTATTTGCGTGACTTCACTGGGCCCCATGGCTGACTGACAGGTGGTCATAAATAAGCAAGCGATTCAAATATTTGGGCTATTTAAAAAGAAAGAAAAAAAGTGAATTTTATTTATCCAGCAGTATAGTCTTATTTAAAACTAAATTTGCAAATTCAGCCATAAGGTGAATGCTTCATTGAACAAATCTTTTCATTTTTCTCGTATTTGTCATGTAATCCCTTCGATTTAAATCTATTTTAAACCTGACTTCAAAGGAGCAGAAAAGGAAAATGCACACATAGAAACCATTTAAGACAGCATTTTGCATATGTGTGGGACACATATTCACGTGGTGACAATCGAAATGGACGCTTTGACAAAGTCGCATCTCATTCGGCACCAAAGCAGTCTCACAACCATCTTTATATCACAGACCATGTGTTTAAGGTTTAATTAAGCCTAATTTCGATGTTGTAGTGGAAAACCTTGTTTAACTCTCACTTAAGGGCACTTGAGTGCTCCGCCAACGCGCCTTCGCCCGGTGGCCTTGTATTGGGGCCAATCCAGTAGCCACCAGCTCCGCTGCAGATCGACAATACATATTCTGACCAACTAGTATGACCTATTTCTTCCTCATGAAAGTCTCTGGACGGCGCAGTAGTTG